TCTTACCAATTCCTCCACTACAATACCTCTCAGATGTGACTATTTATTTTCATTTCAAAGATGTACACCTAGCTCACATTGTAACAATCTAATTGTTGGGTGACTACAATATCATCTTGGCTGGTCACTCTGACTCCCAATTTCCCTCCTTTCCAGTATCTTCTACAAATTATTACTTGGTTAGGTTATTTTTTTTTATTCTGATATTCAAGATATATAAGGAATGAACATAGCTATATAAGACCAAGTACAATTCCCCAATAGGCAAGTGGTTAAAAAAAAGAAGTAATTGTTTTTCAAAAGAAGGAATGAAAGCAATTATAATGAAGTTTGCTCCATATCACTAACTGACATTTTCACTTATATACATAAAGTTAGTAAAAATACCAAGAGATGAAGAATCAGTGTTGTAGGGGCTGAACAGATGTGCACATACACACTTGGTAGAGCTGTCAATTGGTTTGACCATGATGGAAAACAATTTATAATTAAGCTAAAACATGACTAATATGCTTATACCCTTTGAACCAGAAATCCCACTGTTAGACATATTATGAAAGGAATTCAAAGAAAGAAATAAAAATATAGATAGCAACACTTTTTGTGGTAGCAAAGAACTAAAAACAAATAAATGTTTACTGACTGAGGAATGACTAAACAGATTGTGGTACATGAATGTAATGAAATATTAATACACCTCAAGAAATATGAAGAATTCAAAGAACAATACTAAGGAAAGAATGGGAACTGATTCAGAGTGAGGTAAGCAAGATCAGGAAAACAATATACACACTACCTACAATAATGAAAGTGGGGGCAGCCAGGTGGCACAGTGGATAGAGCGCCGGCCCTGGATTCAGGAGGACTAAGTTCAAATCTGGCCTCAGACACATAATACGTACTAGCTGTGTGACCCTGGGCAAGTCACTTAACCCCATTGCCTAGCCCCCCCCAAAAAAAAATAATAATGAAAGTGGAAAGAATAAGAAAAAAAAGGAATAGTGTTTAATTATATAATTACCAAGCTTGGCCCCAGAAAAGAGTTGAAAAAATACATCTCTTTCCTTTCTTTAAATATGTGGGGGACTATGGGTATGGAACAGTTCATATGGTCACACTTGGTTAACATGTTGGTTAGTTTTTCACACTTTTTTCTTTCTTAATTCTTTGTTACAGTATGGTTCATTGAGTAAGGGAGGCCAGAGGAATATACCCAGGAATGTAAGTGATATAAAATGATAAAAATATTTTTAAAAAAGTCATACCTAGAATAATTCCACGATATCTTAATATTTCCTCTGATTTTCAGAGGCCTAAGCATTTAAGCACATAGTTCACTCCACAATCACATACATGCTTCTGTACTGTTTGGGACCTACTCTTTAGCACCTGTATATTTGCATATTATGTATTATCTTCCCAGCTAAATTAGAAATTTCTAGAAGGCAAGATGAATGTCCTCCATTTTCTTAGTATATCCCATAGAAACTGAATATAATGTTATGTTTGCATTTAATAGGCATTTAATAAATGCTTGCTAAATGGATGAGTAAATATTTGGAGAGACATTCTAGTAAAAGGCACACTTTAATAAACTCATCTTTTTCTCTCACCAAAAAAGGACTTGAAAGTTTTTCCATCGGATATGTGGCAAAAATCACCTCATAAAACAGAAAAGGACAAATTCTGAGGTTGGAGGGGAAGCATCTCTGAGATGCACATATTATAGGAAGAGAGAAAACAGAGTAGATGACCACCTTAGGCTTTTCTACCTCTTCTGAAGAGAGCCAGTTGGCTGAAGTAAGGAGATACCGATGTTCCCACATGGACAGAAGATAAACATGAGCTTTTTTAAACAGACAAGTCACAGCTCGGAAATTTTTCAGTTTTTCTCATTGAAAAATCAATACCCATCAGCAGTTTGAAATTAAAGGAAAGATTAGGCCCCAGTTTTATACATGCCTTATTGTATTCCAAAAGCTTTCTACTCAGTCAGATAAATCTTCTTTAAGAGGATTAGGAAAGTTTCATTATCTTTATCTAACCTGAACTAACACTAACTCTGAAAAATTAATCTATAGACTGGACAAAAGCCGATAGCCGTTGTGAAGAAACAGTGCTCTCAAGTTCCTTTCTAATTGAGCGGTGGGGTCTCTGCTTCCAACCACTGGAAATCCAATTGGTTTCCAATGAAAGAATAAGTCATCCTTTGTCAGCCAAGAGAGCCCACAGCCCAGCCTCCTTGGGTCTCCTTCCTCTAAACTCCCAAAAGTGCTTTGGAAGAGGTGACAGGTTGGTCTGAAAAAGGTTCCCAGTGGCCTTCCTTATCTTGCCTTTTATAAGTGCTAGTGTACTTTGACACAGAATACCTCGAACGCGCTCAGGTTATAAGGATCCATTGGCTTGAACCCAGGAGACTATGAACATTTTAAGAAAGAAACTCCATCATTATCCATTTACCTTTCTTGTGAGCTAGTCTCTGGCCCAAATGCTCCACATTCCTCAGGGAGATGCCTGTTCTTCCATTTCCCAACTCCAAATATTTCTTGAACAGCACAACAAAGAACATCATTCACTTAAGCTCCATAAGTGACCCATATTGTGGCCCATATTGACTTTGACGCGCTTACATGATCCATCTTATTTCTGAAAAGTGATAGCCTTGTTCCATTTGAGCCTGTTCCTGTATGGTGCCTGACAGTTCTTTTTATTTCAGTGCCACATTTCCTGAATTTGAAGATAACTTTGCTGTCAAGGCCACTGAGGTGCCATTTACACGTCACTTCCAATGCTGAGAATTTTCAGCCTCTCTGGAGCAGAGCCCAGGTGGCAGGTGGGGCAGTGAAAACTCAGACAACCTTGTTTTTTGTATTCTCCAGAAATTTCCAAGAGATACTGCAACTTATTCCAGATAGCTAGCTGTCTGTACCAAGTACTTCTCCCAGTTTCTAAGAAGGTACATCATGTACCATTAGTTTATCTTTATAGCCACTGAGGCAGGCAGTCCTACTTCCATGAAGTGCCTACTCTCATTTTTCCTCAAGTCATGAAATTGTTCCATTGTTGCTGAAAGCTATGCCTGGGGCACTTTAATTTTAATAGGTCTTAACAAGCTTCAAAGATTTGAAGAATCAAAGATGGATTATATATCAACAAGTACATGGATCAGCCTAGCTGTGATTGGAGAAAATCATCACCAGAAGGTTGAGCCACAGGTACCAATGAATATTTGTGGCCAGACCAACTTATAAAGACCATCTGTTAAGGCAGAGGTCTGTAATTTGCACCAGTGGAGACAATACCCACACTGCTGAAATCCCAACTTTTTCCCCCAGTAGAGAAGAAAATAATCTAGTAAAACTGAATGAATGTTTATCATGGAGTTTTTCTAGGCTGAGTTTATGAAGAGAATGTATGAAAGCAGAGTACCTAAGCTGCTGCTATACAATATGTTTTAGGATCTGTGGAAAGATGAGTACTATAAAGAATATATTGGAATGACTCAGTAAGAAAAATAAACACAACAAAAGAGACATTTTAAAGATTCACTGAAGCATAGCATCAACAGGGAGAATCGAGGGATCATAGATTAGGACCTAACAGGAAACCTAGAGGCCATTGAGTTTAATTTCCTCACTTTACAAATGAGGTAACTGAGGCACAGAAGGATTGTGTGACTTTCCCAGGGTCACAGAGCTAGTAAATGTCTAAGGATCTTCCTGATTCTAGGCTTAATTAGGAACTTGGAAACAAAAACAGCCAACTAAGTATCATGGTACGTAATCATTAGGTGATTCTTGAATCAGTCAGGAGCCTAGGAGGCAAAACTGCTGCTATAAATATGATTTACAAAAAACAACCTAAATTTTAAAAAGAGTAATTATCCTGGGTGTGGTCTCCCTTTTGTCCAGTTCTCAAGCATAATATCCACACTTTGGGCATCAAACCCTTATCATTATGATCTGATGTAGGATCCCTGAAGGGCACTTCTGTATCATTAATGTTTTTAAGTGCAAAGGCACTCTTAAATTTGAAAGTGGATGTATGTGTATATCATATTTTAGAAGACATCTAGGTGGCTCAGTACACAGAGCATTGGGCCTGGAATCAGGAAAACCTGAGTTAAAATTTGGCCTCAGACACTAGCTGTGTGACCTTGGGCAAGTCACTTAACTTCTGTTTTCCTTAATCCACTAGAAAAGGAAATGGCAAACCATTCCAGTATCTTTGCCTTGAAAACCCTGTGGACAGTATGGTCCATGGAGTCATGAAGAATTGGACACTAATGAATGACAGAACAATAATAATCATGCTATTTAAACTTAATTTAGCTTTATGAAAAAGGTTGGATGAGTGTGGATTCATTAACTCCCTTTCTTCTTAGATCTTAGATTGATCCCAGGGATAGACCAGAGAGTAGTTAAAACTGATATCTATCATGGAGTTAGACTTTCTCTGGAGAGTGGAAGAGAAAGTTTTGATGAACTCTAGTAGCTAGTGTACCTACTACACGTGTAGCAGCACCAAGGCATTTTCTGTAAAGCATCCCCTTGATTAACCTAGATTATTTGTACTTTAGAATACACCACATCATGGAAACTTCTTCAAGGTGAAGAGCGTATTGGTCCTTTAATATGTACTTCCAAGCATTTAACAAAGTCATTCGTATACTGGGAGCCCAAATAGCACTTGTCAGTGACCTGGTTTATGAGAATACAAGGACTGAAAATAAGAATAGACAACTTGACAGCCTGCTTATCTGACACCAAGCCAAGAACAGAGACCAATTAGAAATACTTAGCTCAGTATCATTTGATGAGGTAGAAACTAGGAATACTAGACTAAGGTTTTAGTGCTTGGATTTCCTGGACATTTGTAGAGAAAGAATTTTCCTCTATTCATGCAACAGCAGTAAGAGGTATCAGTCTCCTCCACCCACACACGTAAGCAGTGATAGCCAAGCACTTATGCAGTAGTCTCTGGATGATCCTTAAACTTACCTTGTACTATAAGGTGAACCCTAGAGGTTTTCGGATGATTGTCTGTCTGCACAGAGCAGGTGTATGGGCCCTCATCATACACATCCACATCTTGGATCATGATGCTGTACTGGGTTTTAGTGTTGGCCACGATAACCACACGGGGGTCTATGGACCACTTGTCATTTCCAGCATACAGGATCGTGCTGCGGTTTAGCCAGGCTACCCTTGTGACCCGGGCATCTACAGTACACCTGTTAATTCAAGAAGAGACACCGAGAGGGAGAGAAAGAGTGAAGGAATGAGACAGAGGGCAGAGGGGAAGAGGGAGAAGGAGAAGAGGAGGGAGGAGAGAGAGAGAGAGAGAGAGAGAGAGAGAGATTAAAATCAGAATCATTGGTTCAGAAAGAGTAATTTCAACTTAGGGTACAGTCGGTTCTGGATTATCCTCACTAATAGATATAGTACCATGGATTTTCCAAAGTAGCAGATAATTTTTAAAAAATCCATTCCATTCATATGGCATTTTGTTTTGTCAAAGTCACCTCCATTTCCTATCCCCTCCCAGCTAATGTGATTAATCTACAGCTTCTGAACATCTTGTGTTAACCCAATAGCCAACCAAACTATGTTGTTTATTCACAACAGGTGGTAGAGTGGAAAGAGGACTAAACATAAAGTTAAAGGGCCTGGGTTCAAATTCTGACTCTGATACTACTTAGCTGTGTAACTGCAACCAAGCCCACTTACTTCTCTAAGCCTCTGTTCCCTCCTTAGGAAGAAAAAATTAAATGATAAAACTTTCATTACCTAGCTCACATAGGTATTTTGAGAAAAGATATTTGTCATACATAAAGTATTATATAAATGGAAACTTAATTTGCCCCCAGATTTAAAATATGTCACAGATAGCTTATAAAATAAAGTCTTCACATGAGCTAATTGGAAAATTCACAGGATCAAAGGAGTATAGACAGAGAATTGGCTGGTCTTCTAAGAAACAGGCTCTAAGAAGGTGAAGTGATTCACTAAAGGTAATAAATGGCACAGGCAAGTTTTGAACCCAGGACCTTTGACTTCAAATCAAGTGCCCTTTCATAATAGATTGAGTCTATTTTGCTTGACCTGCTCAGTGATAATGACTTCGCTATCATCTCCAAACTCCCCCAAACCTTAAAATAAAACAATCACTACAATAGGGTTGTAGTGAGGAAATTATTTTGTAACCCTTAAAGACCTCTATAAATATCAGTTATTATCATCACTGTTTTACAGGTAAGGACAGTGAGGTTCAGAAAAGTTAAATATATCCATATTAACACAGCTTCGGTTTCTAGGACTGGATTCAAATTCAGATCTCTTAACTCCAGGATGAAAGGCACCATGGCATAGTAGATTTAATGATGGACAGGGAATCAAGAACTGGCTTCAAAACCTGTCTCCAACATTGCTGATCAGTACTAGACTTGGGATTCAAATACAGCTACTGATTTTATGTGCCTTAATTTTACTTCATTGCATGACTCTTTTAATATAACTCTATACTCAATATGTACCATAATGTCACAATACACAATAAAAAAAACACAGTATATTTCACTTTGAAAGTTCTGCCATTTTTGGTAAAACAACAACAGCAACAACAATATGGCAGCTGTTTAAGTATTCAGGACAGGAAAGAGTGGAAGAATCTTGGCAAATTATTCTAGCCTTCTACTCCCATCCCATGGAATATCATGATACTTTCATGTTTTAATATGAATTAAAAGTGAAGGTAAGTTTTACTCCTTACCTAATCTCTCATCTTACTCAAGTTTGTAAAAACAAATGAAATTCATTTTTATTTGGCTTATTCTTTCACATAAGAACAGTCAGAAGAAGTTACAAGTAAACATTTTCATTACTAATTATTGCAGAGCCGGTCTGAGACAAAACTCTGAAGTGGGTAGATTTTCTGAGTGGCAAGACTTCTCTTTCTTTACACTTCTATCCTTCCATGCCATGTACTGTTCATCTCTTTGTAATGCAGTGTGACAAAGAATGTGTTTATAAATGATCAATAACTAGCTGGAGTAAGGCATGTATTGCACACACGGCACAAGATAATGTTTAATCTGCTTTATTAACATATTTTCTATAACTTCTTAAGTCTAGAAATCAACACCACCACCAACAAATCAAGCCCAGACTTGTAGCCTTTGTATATTTCAGATGTGTAAATGTTTGCAAGTTTTTTAATTTTATTTTTATTTTCTGTTCCAAATCCTCTTCATCTCTCCAGTTCCCCCCATTAAGAAGATAAGAAATATTATATCCATTATACATAAGAAGTCATGCAAAACATATTTTTGCATTAGTTATATTCCCCAAAAACCTCCAAGAAAATAAAAGAAAAAAAATATGCTTTAATTAATTCTCTGAGTCCATCATTTGGAGGTGGATATTATTTTACATTATGAATCCTTCAGAATTGTGATAGATCATTATATTGATAAGAATTACTAAGTCTTTCACAGTTGAGTATCTTTACAATATTGCTGTTACTGTATAGATTGTTTTCTTGGTTCTGCACATTTCACTTTGCATCAATTCATGTAGGTCATCCCAGGTTTTTCTGAAACCTTCCCTTCATAATTTCTTACAGCATAATAGTATTACATCATATTTCTGCACTGCAGCTTGTTTAACCATTCCCCAACTTGTATATCCTTAGTTTCCGATTCTTTGCCACCGCAAAAAGAACTGCTATATTTTTGTAATATGGGCCCTTATTCTTTTTCTTTGATCTATTTGGGTTATAGACCTAGTAGGAGTATTGCTGGGTCAAAGGGCATGTACAGTTTTATAGCTTTTTGGGCATAATTCCAAATTTGACTCCAGAATGGTTGAACTATTTTATATCTTCACCAGCTATGCGTTAGTATATTCATTTTCCCACATCTCCAGCATTTGCTATTTTCCTTTTCTGTCATCTTAGTCAATCTGATGGGTATAAGGTAATACTTAGAGCTATTTTAATTTTAATTTTTCTAATTATTATTGATTTAGATTATGTTATGACTATTGATAGTTTTGATTTCTTCCTTCGAAAACTGCCTGTTCATAGTTTTTGAGCATTTGTAAATAGAATGGCTCATTTTTATGTATATGTTTGTCTCATTTCTCTATGTGTTTGAGAAATAAGATCTTTATTAGAGAATCTTGCTGTAATTTCCTCCCCCCACCTCAGTTTCCTCCTTTTCTTCTAATTTTGGCTCTATTGGTTTTGTTTGTACAAAAACTTTTTAATTTTATGTAAATCAGTGTTATCCATTTTACCTTCTCTGAACTAACCTATTGTTTGGTCATGAATTCTTCCCCTTTCCATACATCTGACACATTTATTCCACATGTTCCCCTAATTTGATTCTGATATCAACTTTTATATTTAAATCATTTATCCATTTTGAGCTCATCTTTGTATGTGGTGTGAGATCTTGGTCTATTCTCAGTTTCTCCCAGACTACTTATCAGTTTTCCTATAAATTTTTGTCATAATAATGACTTCTTGCTCCGTGAAGTGGGATCTTTGGGTATACCAAACTCTAGATTACTGTGCTCATTTACTTCTATTTACTTAATCTATTCCATTGATCAATCACTCTATTTCTTATCCAGTACCAAATTGTTTTCACAATTACTGCTTTGTAATATAGTTTGAGATCTTGTTCTGTTAGGCTTCCTTCCTTCACATTTTTTTTTCATTGATCCCCATGATAGTCTTGACATTTTGTTCCTCCAGATGAATTTTTTTACTACTTTCTAGCACTTGCTATAAAGAAATTCTTTGGTAATTTTATTGTATGACATTGAATAAATAGATTATTTTAGGTAATATTATCTTTCTTTTTATTATGTTGGCTCACCCTACACATGAACAATTAATGTTTCTCCAGTTATTTGGATCTGACTTTATTTGTATGAAGAATGTCTTGTAATTGTGTTCATATAGTTCTTGTGTGTGTCTTGGCAAGTAGACTCCCAAATATTTTATACTGTCTGCAGTTATTTTAAATGGAATTTCTCTTTCTTTTTCTTCCTCCTCAGTTTTATTGGTAATATACCAAAAAGCTGATGATTTCCTTGGGTTTATTTTATAACTTGCAATTCATTGTTTTGACTAACTTTTTAGTTGACTTCTTAGGGTTCTCTAAGTATACCGTCATATCATTTGCAAAGTGATAGCTTTATTTCCTTGTTGCCTATGTTTTTTTTTTCTTTCATTTCTTTTTCTTGACTTATTGTTATAGCTAGTATTTTTAGTAAAACATTCAATATCAACAATGATGTTAGACATCTTTGTATCACCCCTGATCTTATTGGGAAGGTTTCTAGCCCCATTACAGATAATGCTTTCTCTTGTTTTTAGAGAAATATTTCTTATCATTGTAAGAAAAGCTCCATTTATTCCTGTGCTTTCTAGTGTTTTTAATTGAAATGGAGGATGTATTTTGTCAAAAGCCTTTTCTGAATATGTTGATATGAATATATAATTTTTGTTGATGTTGCCACTGATATGGTCAATTTTGTTTACCATTTTCCAAAATTGAACCAGCCCTGCATTCCTGGCATGAAACCAATCTATTCCTAGTGCATAATATTTGTGAAACATTGCTGTAATTTCTTTGCTAATATTTTATTTTTAAAAATTTTACATTACTATTCATTAAGATAATTGGTCTGTAATTTTCTTTTTCTATTTTTTTGCTCTCCCTGGTTTAAGTATCAACATCATATTTATGTCAAAGAGGGAATTTGGTAGACTTCTTAATAATCTACTTTTCTCCAACAGTTTATATAATGTTGGAATTAATTGTTCTTCAAATATTTGGTAGAATTTGCTTATTAAATACATCTGATGCTGGTCCCCTACCTCCCCACAGGAGCTCATTTATGGTTTGTTAAATTTCTTACTTTCTTTTCTTTTTTTTTTTAAGTAGGGCTATTTAAGTATTCTATTTTCTCTTCTGTTAATCTGGGTTATTTATATTTTTGTCAATATTTATCCATTTCATTTACATTGTCAGTTTTATTGCTATATAATTGAACAAAATATCTCCTAATAATTGCTTTAATTTTATTTTAATTTGTTGTTCATTCAGCCTTTTAATTTTTGAGATTGGTAATTTGGTTTTCTTCTTTCTTTAAAAAAAATAAAATTAGCTAGTGGTTTTCTATTTTATTGGGTTTTTTTCCACAAAATGAATTTTTAGGA